TCACCACGCGGCACGGGGACCTGTTGGCGTTCGCCAGCTGCTCCAGGGAGAGGCACTCGATGAGCTCGCAGGGCAGCAGCGCRTCCGCCTCGTCCTGCTTGTTGGCCAGGCTGCGGGTGCCCGGGGGATAGCTGGTCAGTTGTGGCATGCCCAGGGATCCCATGAGCAGCCCTGGCCCCACGGAGCGCAGCCTTACAGCAAGAGCGGCTTCCCGGACACCTTGGGGTGGCTGAGGAYGCGGGCCAAGGCCTTCCTGGCCTCCTCCATGCGCGCACGGGCGCTGGCGTCGAGCACGAAGAGCAGCCCGTGGGCAGCGCCGTAGTGGCCGCGCCAGGCGCCRCGCGCCCGCTGCGCCCCGGGCACGTCCACCAGCGTCACCTCGAAGCGGTCCACGCGGAGGTGGGTCTGGCCGGGAATGGCAGCGGGCAGCGCCTCGCCGGCCAGCGCTGCAGGAGGACATGGTGGAGAGCTGGGCATGGTGCCGTCTGCTTGGCCATGACCCAGCCGGGACCTGATGGGGCTCCCCACGGAGCTTCCACCCTGCCCAGGTCTGCAGAGCAGCCAGACCTGCAGCCACCGCTGCTCCTCACCTCTCTGGAGCTCCGTGACCAGCGTGGTTTTACCCGCATTGTCCAGGCCCACAACGAGGAGCGTGACCTTCCTGGGGAAGGAGAGGGACCCGGCGAGCCCCGGGCAGCGTGCACGGAACCCTCAGCGTGTTTCCCAGGCACTCACTGCTCCCTGGGCCGTACAGGGCTTTAGCAGACACCCGCACAGCCCAAGAGCGCTCCTCATACACGTCTCAGTTAATGACTGCTTGTAACGTCACTCATGTTTGTGAGTTCGGCTATACTCACATATATTTATATAGGGAGTGAGTCACAAGGAAGTTTTCCAAGCTGCTGCCTGGACCTGAGGTTTCCCTGCTGCTCAACCATCATATTTGGTCTCCAGGAACATGCCCCACCCGAGGCACATATAATTTTCCCCCTGGTTTACAGGTCAGCAGTGCTAGGTGGTTTGGTTTCAGCATCTTTTCCCCCCAGGTCTCCTGCACAGGTCCGGGTGTGCGGCACCCTCCCCGTCCCGTGTTGCAGCCGTGCTGCTGCAAGGACAAGACTGTAAACTCCCTTATCACCCTTCCACACCTCGCGTCCCTGCCCTGTCTGGGTCCAGCACTTCCCTGCTGAGCACTCCTTCAGGAGAAAATTAAGCCTGCTCTCATGATCATGATACACTCCAGGTGTTTCCCTGCGGCTTTCCCGGGGAGCTAGCTGGAGAGGAGAAGGCGCTGGGATTTTCTCCGCAGGAGGATGCTCCAAACGCTGCCGCTGTGCGAGCCCCAGCATGGCCACGGAGGGACCCAGGGCCATCCCCGTGGCAGCCGGGCTGCAGCACTGCCCCTGCACAGCTAATCCCCCCAGGTCCCAGCTGAGCAGCTGAATATCTGCCCTGGCCACGGAAGGGCTCTTTCTGCCCTCTCCGTCCTTGGTGGCCGGTACGGAGAGGCCAGGCACAGGACAGTCCTGGGCCGAAGCTCTTCCCATGGCCGGCTGCATCCCGAGCCCCGAGCGTACCTGAGCGGCTCCTGCACCGCCCGCAGCCAGGACCAGCAGTGCGAGAAGAGGTGGAACATGCTCTGCCGCCGCGGCGCCCCGCAGCTCCTAGGGCGCCTCGCAGGGAGCCCCGGTGCCAGGCGGGCAGGCGGCACGGCTGCCTCCTGCCCCGCTCGCATGGCCGCGCGGCGCAGCCGCCGCTTAACCCTAATCTGGATTTGCGCTGCGCCCTGCAGCCTCCCTAATCCCAGCAAGGCCGGGGCCCCTGGGAAAGYGAGTGCTGCAGGGCCGGGCAGTGTGCGGGCCGGGCGGCCGCGGCGCTGCGGTACCCACGGGGTGTCGCGGCCTCGCGCCACCGGCTTGGACGTGGCTTGTGGAGGGGACATCTCCCGCGGAGCGCGCGGCCCTGCCAGCTGGATTAGCGGCTGCTGGAGCCAACAGCTTCCCCGGCGGCACCTCTGCAAGCCCTGTAAGGAAGTGTCCTCCCCACAGCATCTCCGCAGGGCCCCATCCTGCATGGGGCTCCCCTCACTCGCTGTGCTCCAGCCTCACGCCGTGTGGCAGCACCCCTCCTGCAGTGTCTGCAGTACCTCGTGTCTGCAATACCCTCGTGTCTGCAATACCCCTCGTGTCTGCAATATCTCGTGTCYGCAATATCTCRTGTCTGCAATAKCTCATGTCTGCAATACCCCTCAGCCAGAGCACACAATTACGATTAATGATTAACGGGGGAGCCTCTGCAGCCACGCGGCCGCTCTCTGCAGCAGCCCACGGCCGCCGGGGCAGCACCGGTGCCCCTGGGTGCTCCGGCAGGGACACAGGGAGCGCAGCCGCGCTCTGGGCACTGCGTTGAACAGTAGGCAACGATGCTGCCTCCCTCGCAGGTGCCTCCCGTGCCCGCACTGCAGGGCCGTGGCAGCAGTGTCCCTGTGTATGTGCCCAGCCGGGAAACCCGCCCCAGCCCGGGTGAAGCTGGCACCGGGCTCCCGGCGCGCGGCGATAGGGCCCAGCCTTAATCAATGGGCGTTTTGCTCCCGGCGTGGCCCCGGCGCGCGCGGCCGCAGCTCCGGTTACACGGCGCGGCTCTGGCCGCGTGCCCAGGATCCCGCGCCCGGCCGGGCGGCCTTGCAGCGGGAGCGCCCCAGCTGCCAGCGTCGCGGGCGCCGCTCCGCTCCACTCCGCGCTGTGCCRGGCCGAGCCGATCCGGAGCGGTGCCGCCACGTAGGAGTCGGCCCGTGTTTCCTTGGTGACTGTTGCCAGGTGAGAAACTCAAAGGCAGGGTTTTCTCTCGTGKCGGATTGGGGATGTTCCTCCGTGGGGCGGTTCAGGAACTCTGCCCCCGGGCGCTCCCGGGCGCTCCGCGGCGCTGGGGCTGCTAGAGCCCCGCGAGGCCGTCCCGGCCGTGCTGCCCTGGTGCGCYGTGTCCCGGCGGCAGAGCTGGGGGACGAGGTGAAGTGGCAGGGAGCTCAGAGACGCGCCGCGCCTGAGGGCTGGCAGCCGGCCATGCCGTAGCCTCCCCGAGCCCGTGAGTACGCGACGGACACGGGCTGGGGCACCGGAGGCACCGCATGCGACCGGAGCAGCTGGGCATGGGGCTGGGAGCGGGGAGGTGCCGCGGGGAGGCTGTGGATGGTGAGTGGGAGGAAAGGAGTGGGTGGCGCTGCTGGGAGCTGGGGTGCCCGAGGGCTCTGCGTGGGGCAGGCGGTGTTGGAGAGGCCCAAGTGGAGCCAATGGAACCTCCTGCTGCCCGTTGGGGTCTGTAGGGAGCCCTGGGCTCTGTAYGGAGAGGCAGGGGCCGCTGTGCAAGCCTGGTGGGCTCGGGGGCCACGGGGCTGGCAGGGCTCGGAGCTGCACGCGCTCCGGCCGAGGCTCCGTGCCGGCTCCGCGAGGCAGCCCGGTGTGAGAGCAGCAACCATGCAAATAACCTCATCACCCCTTTAAATCCTGCGGCTAATGATAAACCGGGTAATAAGGGCTTTAAATGCCAGGAGCTAATTACGTGCAGGCGCCGCGTGGTCCGACTGGAAAGGCCGGATGGCGGCCGCCTGCGCCGCAGCACCCGGCGTGCAGGCGGGACGAGCCCTGCGCAAGCAGGAGGAGGAGCAGGAGGAGGAGCAGGGAGCACCCGGTGTGGCGGGACATGCACCATAGCTGCCCACCCGGGCATGTGGCCCCCCTTGCCTGCGGGTGGCCCTTCTGTGGCTATTTTCGGCGAAGGAAGGGGCTTTTCGGGCAGGCTTTGTGCCTCCTCGCAGCCGGCGCGGTGCCCGCCCCGTGCCGGCGGAAGCGGCAGGACGTTGGCGGCAGCTCCGATAAGCGGCCGCCTCCGCGCTGCGCTGGCGGGCGGGCTGCGAGCAGCGCCGGGGGGACACGAGTGGGCCCCAAAACACAGCGGGGTGGCACCAGGGCTCCCGCGCGGCGGTGGAGCTCGGTGCTGCCCTGAGCACCGGCTCTGCGCTGTGCAAGCTCGCTGCTTCCGCCCCCTGCGAGGCTCTCGGGGGGTTTCTYGGGCAAATCCACCTGGGGCGCCTGCTGCCGTGCGGCGGGCTGGGGAGCCGGGCCCTGCCTGCACCCACAGGGCCTCGGCACGGAGGGGCCCAGGGCTGCGCGCGGGGCTTCCCCAGCGCCAGGAGCTCGTGGCAGCGCCAGGACACGCAGCAGCAGCCGCGGCCACGTGTGCGCGCAGCGCCGGTGGAGCGGGCACTTCTCCCRGGCAGGAGGTTTGGCAGAGACCGACAGGGGCAGGGAAAAAATAAATAAAAAATGAGTCGTCCAGTGTGAAATGCAGAATCTGAGCTCTTTGCGGAGCTATTTCCAGAGTCAGTGAAAAGCTCCTGGCTCACACACTCCTCCGGAYGGGACCCTTGAGCTGGTGCAGGAGCCCGGGAGCTTCTGCTGCCTTTTGGCTGACTGGCACCCCAGGGTTTCTGCAGGCTCCTCAGGGACGCCTCTATCCCTTGGCACAAAGCGCGTGTCCATGGGGAGATTCCCGATCCGAAAGGGCGCGGGGGGCAGGGAGCCCGGGCCATCCCTGCTCCGGGCCAGCTGCCGCTGCCGCTCGCGCAGGGCTATATTTGGGAAGCAGCGCGGCTCATCCCGGCTGCCATCCCGGGGCCCCGCGCAGCCGCAGGGCCGCAGCACGGGGACGTTTCCAGGTTTTCCTCCTCTCCTTTTCCAGGAGCGCAGCTGCGGGCAGGCTGCTCTTGGAGCGAGCGGTTCCTATTTTCAGAGCCGGAGCTGGCGAGGGAGCCTGTTGCTACCCCGCGTTTAGCGCAGGCTGTAACACACAAACGTCCTCCCCGCGTCCTGGCCCTTCCCTTAATGCAGGCGCTAAGGAAAACACGAGCTCTGGGTGCTCCCCAGCCTCCCGTGCAGCCAGTCCTGCCGTGCCCAGGTGGCGGCAGGGCTCAGGGCCAGCACTTTGGGCAARTCCAGGACGGGCAGGAGGCGGGAGCTGCTGTGCCCACCATTCCTGGCTGTGCCGGAGAAACAGCGATTCCTCCCACCTTGCCTTTCTCCATCCCAAGCAGTGCCGCAAARGGGGCTTTTTGGGGACACGGGACTGCAGTTGCTCTGGGCTCCAGCTACTGCACTTCACATATTTCATCACRGAGCTACAGAAGGCAAAATTAAAAACACGGTGACTCCGAGCCCAGGAATTGCTTGGATGAGGCTTGGTGACCTGCCAGCCTCTCAGCAGCAGCTTTTAATTTGGATAAATAGCAGTTGCACAAGCCCTGTGCGTTGCAGGTTGCTCTGGCAGCTCACGGGAGCTGCGGGCACAGCAGCCGCGCGGGGGCCGGGCACGGCGGGTGTCCCGCAAGGCACGGGGCTCCCGAGCAGCGCGGGGACGCTCCGGAGCTGCGGGCAGCTCCTGGGCTGTGTCCCTTGTGCTCTGTCCTGACGGCCTTTCCCCAAACACCTCCTCACTGCCAGCATGCAGGGATTGCATGCGAGGCCCCCGGTGCCTCCAGTCGGGCCGGTCCTGCCGAGCTCGTGGCGTCTGTGGCCTCCACAAGCAGCTGCTGGGCTGGAGGGGGGCTGAGCCGCAGCTGCGGCCGCCACAGGGACACCTCCGTGCAACGGGGAGCGCGGGTCCCGCRGGCTTTGCTGTGTCTCTCAGCGTCTGAGCAACCCGCGGTTCCTCATCCCTGCACCCTCCGTGCCTGAGTCACGGCTCTGCCCGCCGAGCCGCGCGTGTCCGGGCTGGGTGACATGGGGCGCAAGGTGGACGCTGGAGCTGGGCGCTGGGGCAGCTGCCGTGGCCTCCCTGGTCCCCAGGGACCTGGCCAGGGGTTGTGTTTGGGGCTGTAGCCTGGGGGCTGCCAGGGCTGCTGGGTGGGGGGTCCCAGGGTGGGTGCAGTGCTGGGGGTAGAACCAGGGTGGGGGGCCAGCCATAGCAGAGGGGGGTCTGGCCATAGCAGGGAGGGGTCTGAGCAGACTGGAGAGTTCCCAGCATGGAGGGGGGGTCTTGGTGTTGGGTAGTTGTGGGGCTGTCTCGTGCTGGAGGACTCTGGATTGGAGTGGTGCCCCCAATCTGGCTGGGGCTCCTGAACTCAGGGAGAGGTCTGGGGTGGGGGACCCCATCCCGCGGAGAATCCCGGAGCTGGGGGGAGCGGGTGTCGGAGTGGGGGTCCCCATCCCGCGGAGGATCCCAGAGCCGGGGGGGGCGGGTGTCGGAGTGGGGGTCCCCATCCCGCGGAGGATCCCGGAGCTGGGGGGGGGCGGGTGTCGGAGTGGGGGTCCCCATCCCGCGGAGAATCCCGGAGCTGGGGGG